CTTTGTCCTTTTAAGTAACCATTAATAAATTATTTTGCTTTTAAGAAAGCCCAGTCTGTTTTGCCCAGTACCATGGTTGGTGGGTGCTCCCTCTGTTCTTGTTTCGACCCTCAGTCCTTTTACTATATTTTTTCTCCTCTCCACTTTACTGGAGAAGGAGAAACTGTGTGAGTTTTAGTTGCTGGATCAGCCTAAAACCACAACAACCAGAAACATTGTAACGTCATCCAAGGACAGATCAGACTGACTGTAAACCCCAAGGCCTATAACAGGACCGTAGTGAACTCCCACGGTGAATTTAGACAGTGCAGAGTGAGTTTTGGGTCTAATAAGCAGCTCCCAAGTGTGTGCATAGCCTTGGTTTCCTGTTCCCAGTGGCTAAATTGTTGCTGATTATCTTCCCACAGATAAAATAGGAGGTAGTATGCCTTGTCTCCTTCCATGTCTAGAAGCTGCTTCTTCCTGCCTAGCAGCTCTTGCTACCTCCATAATGTTGCCAAGGTAACACTTTTGCCTCAGTGTTTCCTCCTAAAATCTCCCCCGTCTCGCCACTATCCAGTGCTGTTGGCCAGTACGGTTGTTCCCTCTGTGACTCCAGCAGGCTCCAGCATGTGCAAATTGTTCCAGCTGGTCTTCAGCAGCAACTGAATTTGAGTATGGAAAGCTACTCCCTACAGACTCTCCAGTTATTTCCTGATCTAATTCTAAATTGCCTTGAGTATTTAATCTCCAAGGACCTTCCTAAGCCCACCTGATAGTCACGTAATATGATGAGATTTGAATCTTACTTTTGCCAGTATAAATCTCAAAGTGTCTCTTGATTTCTCTGAAAATGCACCAGATATACACTGCTACAACAGACTGGGATGTGGCATGGCTTGCCAAAAGACACAGGTTTGGGTATGAAAGGATAATTGCTACATTTGAACAAGCAACTTACAATACAGAAATAAATGAGACTTGGAAATTCTCGAGATGTGTTTTAACTGTGACTGATAATGTTAGAAATTCAAACTGGATGAAAAACGTTCATTAAGCCATTCTCTAGCAAGGTTGGTGATTGTTATTGCATAGAAATAAAAACACTTTTCAGAAAATCTTGTCATTTTCAATACAGTTTGTTTCAGAGGGAAAAGGGAAAAGTGGGCGGCGAAGAGGAGAGGAATTCCAATGGTGTCCTTATTTACCATTTCTGTTGAACAAAATATTTTAACTTTGCAATCTGCAACTGAAAAGTATTTCAAAAAGCCATTTTTAAAGAACCAATGCATGCACACCCTTGTTAATAGCAGTTTGGTTTTTATGGTTCCATTTTTCATTTTGCCCCTGCAATATAAAAACACTTCAGGAATGTTCCAGGAAAAAATCTGGCGTTAAGAAATCTGGTTTTCTGGGTTTTTTTTAATGCCCAAATGTCTTTGCATCTGCCAATGTGTTTTAATATGCTCAAAAAAGGTTACATATGTACAGAAGGCTTTGCATTTGCCAGCAAACTTGGTAGCCCATTGAAAACAGAGACTATAGGTCCCTCTGAGCTGTTCCTGGGGAAGAAAAGAATCGTTATCATATACTAATTTATTTTTCACTGCCACTGAAAGAAATGCAGAATCGGAATGTCACACTTCTCAACATATATACATACCTAGAATCCTATGAAGAAAGGACTCTCTCTTATCATACAGAATATGAATGACTCTGCCATCTGTGGTTTTCTTAAAATGCCACTTCCTCATGAAAATAGGCCTGCTATTGCAAATGCCACCTGTCATCAACTAGTATATGTCAAGAATTTTCTGTGCCCAAGTGTCAGAACGTAATACAGTCTTAGGATCTCTGTCTCTGTGTGTGCAGTCCCAGCAGCGCAGTATCTGTGCTCCTGCTGAGTGGCACAGCAGGCCCACTAGGAAGCAAAGGCAAGTGCTGAATGTGTAAGTACCAGTCAAATAGAGATGTTATGAGGTCTTTCATCCTTTTTGACTAAAATAAGGAAAACACACAGGGGAAAAAGAATCAGCTAGGCTGTTCTCTGTCAGCTATTGGATGTTTAAGTATCACTGCAGTGAAGTAGACCTATTTCTTCACTCAGGTGAGCCAAGATGGAAAAGCCTTGCTGGATGTCCTACAGCGTCCCTTGAGCCCTGGGAATTCTGAATCCCTCACTGCTACTGCAAACTACTCCAAGGCTGTTCACCAGGTGTTGGATGTGGTACATGAAGTCCTGCATCACCAGCGGCGCCTAGAGAGCATCTGGCAACACAGAAAGGTCCGGCTACATCAAAGACTGCAGCTCTGTGTTTTCCAGCAGGATGTTCAACAGGTAATATCATTACTAAAGGAGATAAAGAATGGTCCGTTCTTTGCAGCCGTAAAGATTGTTTGGTGACTCACCTAGAGGATATTACCATAACCAAGATTTCACATGCAGCTCTATCTATGCTAGAAGTATGCTAAAATCCTAATATGCCTTTCAGCACCTCTTGGTTTCATGTTGGAAACCATTGGTCAGTACTTTGATTACTGATCAGTCTATTCCCCACGAGAATGTGACACTGTTTTCAGTAGTTAATTTTTCACAAGTGAGTAATTAGCTGTACGTAACTCTAATGCTCTTGAGAAAGTGATGTTTAACAGAAAAAAGAATTCCAAGTTTAAAAAAAATCGAACTGTAATATACTTCACCTTCCTATGTGGAAATAATACAGATACAGACCTTTTAGTGGTGGTGTTAAATTATCTTTGCACTATTACCACTTATGGAGTCCGCGTACCTGTGCTATGAGTTTGCTGGCTGAAACGAACCGCACACCCCAATGTGCAGAGCCCACCTCACAGAAATACAGTTCATACGTTACAGGCTCACCTCGGAGAACTCAGGCTCCAGGTGAATAACTTTTCTCTCCCAAAGGAATCCACTTGAATGCCAGCACAACAGCGTAACTGACAGTAAGTAGGAGATGCCAAATATGCAAGCACAATCAACAGATGTTACAGGACTCTGCTTATTCAGGATGGTGTGGTTTGTTTAAGGGCCCCATTACAGCCCAAAGCAGATGTTGGCAGCAATATGGTACTTGCTTTAAATGAAAAGGCTGGATGCTCTAATCATGTTTATGGAGCATTCTAATGTCCCTGGGGTTCTTTATGTCATTGCCTTTCTCCAAGTGAAAAATGAGGTGGAGACGGAGCGACAAGGCTGTCGCATGCAAAACAGACGTAAACAAGCAAGGACAGGAGACAGGCAACTTTTATTTAATATGAAAATTCATGGTCCTGGTAGTGCCATGGTTGAAGTGCACCAGCACAGACAGAACTGCATCCTTTGCAAATATGTATGATTGTTTCTTTGACAGTCTTGAAAAGTTTGCCAGAATTTCTACCTGCTCAGTTTTTCCTATAAAAACCACACAAATATTCATGCCACATATATAACTAAAACTGAGATTGAATGTAACACATGCTTAATTTAAGCAACTTCACTTTTGTTATGTGTCAGCAAACATACTGCATGGTAATAAAATTCATCAGTTATGTATAAAGTAGAGCATGTACTTGGAATTCAGTTAGAATACTCCCTGCAAACTACGTGAAGTTAACGCAATTTTGGGGTTAAAATCTCGAAAATCAAGAGCTGTAAATTCTGATGTTATTATGCTTTTTCCAATTGTGGTATATAATGTCAATAAGCATCTATATTCTCTTAGGTATTCTTCAGCCCCTAGGGTGATTTACACTTTTGTTCAATCTTTCCAACCCAAAACTTTCTCTCTTACATGTTCTGAAACCAGTAGTAGTGTTTATGAGCTTCATTCATGAAACCCATTCAGACTTTTACCTCCCACATGCGCAAGGCATTGGGGCTGTGTCACTGGTTTTCAAAAGGAACAGGTCTTTTGCACGTACTGTGACTTCTGGTGAGAGGAAAAGAAACAAGCAGTAAAAGTCACTGGAGTACAGTCACTTTACAAAGCATTGCTCTGTGTGAGTTCTGTTGGCAGCAATCTTTCCAAATTTTTCTCTGAATGGGTAGTTATTATCTGGGAAGCAACAACTTAATGACAGACACGTTTCTGTCCTAGCACACACTTAATGGAGGCATCTCTTTGTCCTACTTATAAAGTAGAGAGGAAGAGATGAATCATTCTGTTCACTAAACATCTGTACTATTCAAGCTAAATGCTTTGCAACTGATAAATGAAATTATCAGCTAAACAGAAATATCAAGTGTAGATTCTGTGAGGAGGAGGAAGATATCTAATTATGTTGGGATTTTTTTTTTTTAAATAATCACCTCCTATATATCTATCGTGCAATTCCTGCTATGCTTATTTTGTTAAATGCCCGTCAGTTGGCAGGTGAAGCTGTCTGCCTGTATGTTGTTGCTAATCATAAGTAACATTTATCTGTAACAATCTTCTGCCTTGTCAAAATTTAATAACCTTCAACAAGGTTCTTCCTGGTTCAAGCCTAAAAAGAAAAGATGTGGGAGAACAAATCCTGACAGGAGAGCCCTGAGTTTATTAGACTTCGCTGTCTTCTAGACAAGTAACGATACAGTGCAGTTTCTCTAAGGAAGATGCTCCTCTTCTCTTTCCACCCAGCTCAAAATTAAGCATGTTCTCACAGATGCAGTTTTCCGTCTCAGGATGCCCCATGGCTCACTATCTCCAGCTGTTGGCCAGTGGAGTAAAAATTCTCGTGAAAGATCATCTCCATGTCAGAACTTACACTCTCTCACTTGTTCATCTATACCTTTCTCTTCATGTCATCTCTTCTGTATCAATCTTGTCTTAAAAGCAGATGTGAATAGGGACAGTTTTTGTTGTGTTGCATGTTCTTAATACAGACTCCAGGATTATTTTGCACCCTCTCAGTCTTCCATTAATGGCGTTAATAGCTTTTGGTAAAGGCACATCTCCAATAAGAGATTCTTCTGAATCTTCAGAGATCAATCATTCCTCACCTAACGACTCTAGTTAGTCTTGCCAGAGGGATCAAGTATTTAGGCATGCAATATCAAATGTTCGTAGTGTCTTGTAAAACTGGTTAGCTAGATGAAGGCTTTTTGTAGGGCAAGTGTGTGCCTTTTGCCTGGATTTAAGGGTTAAGCTGTGTTAAACAGGGCTCATTCATATCATTCCTGGTGTATTCTGCACCATTTTCAAGGCCAGACTGCATGCTGTATGCATTACTGGCAGGTCAGGGCTATCTCAGATAGCTTCACACTGTCAAGGAAATCCTTTTGATTTTAGCTGGGTTTCGGTTTGAACTGCACAAAACCTGGAAACATTGAAAATGATGGATTAAAAGAAATAAAAGAAATAAAAGTAGTTTTTATTCTGAGATAGAAAGTCAAGCATCCTTACAGTCATGCCATAACCAAAATATAAGTTGTGCTGTAGGAAAAAAAAACGTTTAAACACTGTTACAGTGTTAATGTAAGAAATGTTATGCTGTAAAATGTCATTAGAAGTAATCACTACCTCACACCATCAGACGTTTTACAAGATTATTTGCTACATCTGTGTAGTAATGCAATTACATCAATTTGCACATGTGAACCAAGGTAAATAATGATGTGCTAAGGACAATGAGTTATGAATATACAACATTTTGAAGAAGGAAGGAAAATAAATGGCATGAAACTGCATTTGCAGCCTGCACAGGAAATAGGGCACCATTCCTAGAAAAGGGATAGCAGATAAGACAATTTGTGAGCTGTTATGAGGCTCTATGCAGGCGCAGCTGACAAGGAACTCGTTTAACACCAGAAGTATTTAAGATCGTTATAAAAATGTTGGGTTGCCGACTGTGTAAAATACTTCATTGCTTTAGTTGTTTTTTAGAAGTTCTCTATCATTTCAGATAGGGAAGAGTTGCACTGTTTGATCCTTTTAGAACACAACTGTGGGAGGAGGTGCTGAGATTCTGTCCTGCAAGGAAGGAAGAAAATCCTTGTGACATTCATACTGATATTCTGTAATTGCTGCAGATGCTCAAAACCCATTTTTGGTGGCTTTTCATTTTTGCTGCTCTCTGCTCTGGGTCTTCCCCTTCTGTGGACTATGTACCAGCAAATTAACACCATTTCCATTTCTGTTGAGATTTCAAATTGTTCTCATATTGTCTTCAGCTTTCACTGCTTTCCACTGTTACATCCTGATTTGCCCTGTCTGCCTTTGCATGCATCTCTCCACTTTAATATGTTCCCTATGCCCCCGTGAACAGCAATACTGTGAAACAGCAAGGGTAGCATAAGGGTTGTACCATGAGCAGATGTTACCAAGCAGCTTTAGAAATAGCTGAAGTAAGTTGTAACACTGTTCTTCACCCCATTGCCTCCCCCATCCCTTTTGTTTCATATGGGCAAGAATTTTGTCTGAATTCTCTCACCTCATAAACTCATTCAAGTGAAGCTGTAAAGCCTGAAGCAGACCTATTAAAGTAGAAGGAAAATGGAGACCCATCAGATGCATTATTGAAGTGATCTGTGCAAGTCTTGAACTTGGTATTTTAAAGCACTTTCGTGGCAGAATAGTCAAACTGCTACTCTTATTCTGCAGGCTTCATTCCTTCTCATGGAGATTCTTGATCTTTCCTTTATTTCCATACATGCACACCAATACTTAGCCTGACACAGGCAGCCTTCTCCACAGATTCACATGATTCTTTCAGGATCACTGCTGGTGCTGCTTCCTTCTTGCTTCACTTTGGTTGTGATGGTTGCCTGTGAAGGAAGAGCTGGAAAATAGGTGGACGTAGAGGTAGTGTGTTTGCTGCTGGAGTTTCTTGGCTATGTACAAAGCCTTGAGTTAGCTGGGGTGGCTCTGCATGGCAAAATGGAACAGGCCCATCATGCCAGATGAAGACCAGTGGTAAACAGCAAGATGACACTAACAAACGCTTACTAGCAAGAGGGCAGGCATGTACTAAGCAAGCTAGGACTGTTGCCATACCAGCTGTAGTGATGTCTCAAATCCTCTTGGTTATTGAAAAGGTCAAGCTAGACCAGTGTCAGGTTCACCTGCATTTCTCTAAATTTGTGGATCTGCATTCTGTTGGCTTCATGCCCAGATACATTAATGGACATAACTTTGGTTTCCTTGTGTGGTTATCTGTTTCTGGTGATGGATAAAAAGGCCATGTGGCCATACTGATATCATTACATTTACCAGCTGCCGTTGTTGTGGGAGACTGCAAAGTATTGCAGAGGAAAAGCTGTCTCTCTTCATAACCAAGCACTTTAAATCGTAATGTCTCTGGCTTTTACTGGCCGAGAAAACAGATCAGGGCATGATCCTGACGTCACTTGTATGGAAA